ACCCTAGCGTGGATGTCAAGGTTTTGTGTGGGCCAGGAACTGGGCCACAGATCGGTAGACTCAAAAGGTTAACTTTCGAACTACCCAAGGCCGCACAAGTAATGTACATCGGCCCGTGCAACTGAGAGATCATGATGGGTTTTCTTCCTTGTTTTTTTCCAGTTTTGGTCAGTATGTTGTTGGTTACACTGGCAGCTGTGCTTTTCTAATTTTTTTGTTGTAATCATGGACCATTATCTTTCATATTTGTGCATATATATATATATATATATATATATATATATATATATATATATTTCGATAAACGTGCAATCAATTTACAAATTCATGAATTATTCACACAAAAACAAATGCAAAGGTTAATGATTTAATTGGCGAGAAATCCATCGTCGCAAACAATTCAAATAATATACGAAAAACCTCCAAATCCGTTATGAATGAAATGATCCTTGTTTCTATAAATTTCTGCCGTATTAGTTCTTATTTTTACTACAAGCTTTCGTCTGTTCCTACAGACATCTTCAGGTATGGAATAGATGTTGTTCTTGTTTTTTCTCTTAGTAATAAGAGGACAACGAAAATATATGTATTGTTGTATCCGAAAATGCTATTGGAAATGAGTTATTGTTTTTGGAGCGTGCAATAGCAACGCTGGGTTTGATTTTAAATTTTTTACAGTTGTGCGTTCATGTACAAATATGGGGATAAACGAATTTTTTACTGGTAAATTTTCTGTCAAAGTGGCATGAACTATATTGTTCAATAATTACAGTAATGTCGCACTTATTATCCAAAAGTCGCACTTGGATCAGTTATTTTAATTTCGATAAACGTGCAATCAATTTACAAATGCAAAGGTCAATGATTTAATTGGCGAGAAATCCATCGTCGCAAACAATTCAAATAATTTGTTTTTGTGTGAATTAGTAAAAATAAGAACTAATGCGGCAGGAATTTATAGAAACAAGGATCTTTTCATTCATAACGGATTCGGAGGTTTTTGTATATTATTTGAATTGTTTGCGACGATGGATTTCTCGCCAATTAAATCATTAACCTTTGCATTTGTTTTTGTGTGAATAATTCATGAATATATATATATATATATATATATATATATATATATATATATATATATATATATATATATATATAGTTTTAACTTTAAAGGAAAAAATTACAGCCTGATGAGTGAGACATGGATCTTCGAAAGTACTTGCTTAACTTAAAAAATATACACCTAAAACATCTGACAACAGTTTTATAAATGAGGATGACATCATTCAATGGATTAACAGTATTTTAATGCATACATTATGTTCTACTAGCGAAGTGATTTCGCCATTAATCGCATTAATATTGCTGATTGATTTTATTTATGATTATTTCTTTATATATATATATATATATATATATATATATATATATATATATATATGTATGTGTGTGTGTGTGTGTGTGTGTGTTTATAATCGACTTTCCGTCGAGATTCGACGTATGAAGGTCAAACAGATCAGTTTCCAGGAAACCGACAGCCCGACACCGGCACATGAGATTTGATTATAGTGGGGAAGGCTTCGTGCAGGACCACCCACACTTTTTGAAGGGACGAATACAGAGACCTGGTGCACCGAATGCCACAAGGTTCCCAAACGACCCTCCGCAGGTTTTGAATTCAGGGTTGTCCTTCTCCTAGACCAGTTGCCATCCAACGCTATAGAACCCAGTCTGTCCTGCTATTTTACTCATAGCTGGAGGGTATTAGCACGTAAGTGAATGTAATGGATTATATATATATATATATATATATATATGAGGAGGAACGGTGAAGTAATGCATAGCGTCTTGGATTGAGGAATCGAAAGGTGTGAATCTTCTTCTTCTCCCTCCAGCTATGGCTAAATAGCAGGACAGACTGGGTTCTATAACATTGGATGGCAACTGGTCTAGGAGAAGCTGAACTCTGAATTCAAACCCGGAATGGAGCCCCTAAGGCGGATGGACGGTACTTTGTGCTACCTTCCGGCAACTCCTGCAGCCGCGCTGGGACCAAACTGTATTGCTTTATCCTCTCCTTTGGACTCTGCTAGCAAGGCCGAGAAGGGGAACTAGACGTCTGGGAAGCCCTTGTTCTCCATATATCCCGCCCAGGCTCGTAGCGCGCTACTCCATCGTCTATCGAGACGGACGGATGCCGACTACGACGACATATATATATATATATATATATATATATATATATATTTGTTCATTTCCTAATGTGTGACGTCAGTTGTTTACATTTCGATACGCCATGAGCAGATATGAATGTACGTAAGAGAATCCTGGAAGATTGAAGTTTAAAGTAAATTCGACCTTGCTAATCGAACTTTTTTGTGTCTCGATCGGTTAAGAGCACGTCTGGCTAAATGACGGTTCCGTATAGGTTACAGGTTCGAATCCTGTCGGAGAACAAATGTTTTCTATGAAAAATTTCTCGGACATTCAGGCCGGTGAATGTTGTTTATTATAAACAGAACATTTACTGAAATATTTGTATCTATAAAATATATATATATATATATATATATATATATATATATATATATATATATATATATATATATATATATATATATATATATATATATATATATATATATATATATATATATATATATATATTATATATATATATATTTTTTTGTGCGTCACCGGTAGTATTTGCTTTATGATGGCAGCCATATTGAATCTTCAATAAAAAAAAATTAACAAATATATACTTTTTTATCTGTGAAAGTTTCTAATTATCTTTGAGTTTTTCTTGTAGTTTTTTTCCATTTACGCAATTGATCATAAGTGTCACAAAATGGGGTACGATAATTCATATATTCAATATGGATTCACATCCATCATCATTAATTGAAAATAATGGCCTCAATGTATTTTTTGTAGTAAAATGAAACAGCGTAGCAGATTGGAGACTGACATGGGCTGTACCCTTTCTTGCACTACTCCGCATATTCCAGAATTGGCGAAGAAAAAAAAAACAATCACACGTTTCTAATTGACTGCAATATCCATCTGAATAAAATGAATTAAAATTTTACAATGTCCTGGCATTATACTGAAAGTCTTTTTTTATTGAATTATAATATGCTGGTATTTTGTTTTTGTGTATTAAATTACAATTCCCAGCCATTTTAACTTTTTTGTATGTTGCAGTATACTTCAGTTTGGTCTGTTAAATAATTAATCATCTATATAAAAAAAAACAGCTTTTATTCAAGTTTTGATATCCATCGGCATTTTCAGTTGTTATTAAATGCAAGAAACACCACTATAAAAAAATCTATATAAAGATAAACGTATTAGTATCTGTCTATATTTCTGAGATTAGGTATTGTGTCCACTATTTACATTATTCGGACTATTGTCCCCATCTGTGTTGCCATATTTATCACAACTTTTCGGCCGTTATACGCTCCGGCCTTCTTCAGGTGGTTCGAATGTCGAACTGAACTCTATATTTCATTCGCCGGGGTAAATTGTTCTAGTTCCACGTGTCATGTCTAATGGATGTCAGTTATCAGTTATCTCCTGTTAATTCATCTCTCCAAGTTCTCAACTTCCTTATCCAGGTATTGAACCCACACTCTTTGGGTCCTGTCACTGGATCTAACCAACGCCTTTATTTTTTCCTATATTAATACATTTATACTATTTATATTATTCGGACTATTGTCCACATGTTTGCTGCCATATTTATCACAACTTTATATTTCTTTCCGCAGCTGCACGGGATAGCGTACACACATTCTTTAATCATGGTCTCTATGGGGAGGGGGTTATTCGGGAGAGGTATCTGCTTTTGAAGGTTGTCCTGATGTTATATGGACCGCAGATGCTTTGTATTTTCTCCGATAACCCCTTCATATAAGGCAGGCAAACCTTTTTCTGAGTGTTGTTGTTCTCATGTACACGCCTATCACAGTTTATTAGGGCTGCTGACATGTACCCAGGGTAGTTGTTACGTTGTCGGGTACTGCTTGTACTGACCAATTCTTTATCTAATGTCTCTGGGTTGCAACATATACTTTTGATCGGTGTTTTAAACAGCGGACGGTGTCTTTCTTCACGCTGTATGGATGGTGGGAGTTGAAATTGAGGTCTGTCCGGTGAATGTCGGTTTGCGGTATAAGTCCCAGAAATTCATACACAGATTTCCTTAATGACACATGTCACATAGATTTCTTTTTTAACTGCAATTACATTCTTTCTTTACAGCTATCTTCATTTTTAGCATCATTGTCTTTTTCTTTTCTTTCTTTCTTTCTTTCTTTCTTTTTTTCTTTCTTTCTCAAAATCTAATATTATATTTTAGCAACATTTCCTTTCTTTGTTTCTTAACAGCAATCCAAACCTTTCTTTTATTTTTTAACATTAATCAAATCTTAATTTTTCTGTCTTCGTTTACTACTGATGGACTTTTTTCTTACTTACTTACTTATGTTCTTTCTTTCTTTCTTTCTTTCTTTCTTCATTTTTTAGCAGCTAATCTTTTCTTTTTAACATTTTCTTTCTTTCAATCATTATCTTTTTCTTTCTTCCTTTCTTTCATTCATTCATTATCTCTTCCTTTCTTTTATTCATTATCTCTTTCTTTCTTTCTTTCTTTCTTTCATTTATTAGCAGGCAATCCTTTCTTTTAAACATTTTCTTTCTTACATTCACTATCTCTTTCTCTTTCTTTCATTCTTTCTTTCTTTTATTCATTATCTCTTTCTTTCTTTCTTTCTTTCTTTCTTCATTTCTTAGCAGCTAATCTTTTCCTTTTAACATTTTCTTTCATTCATTATCTCTTTGTTTGTTTGTTTCTTTCTTTCTTTCTTTCTTTCTCAACATCTAATATTATATTTTAGCAACATTTCCTTTATTTGTTTCTTAACAGCAATAAAAACCTTTCTTTTATTTTTTTAATAATAATAAAATCTTAGTTTTTCTGCCTTTGTTTACTTCTGATGGACTTCTTTCTTTCTTTCTTTCTTTCTTTCTTTCTTTCTTTCTTTCTTTCTTCCTTCCTTCCTTCCTTCCTTCCTAACGGCTAGTATTTTTTTCTTTTTTAACAGCAATGTCTTTCCTTGTTTCTTTCTTCCTTTCTTTCTTTGTTAAAAATGATTCATTCATTCATTCATTATTTCTTTCTTTTTAATCTCTCGCGTGTATACCAGTGACTCAACCTATTTTAATCTTCTTCATTTACTATCTTCCTCCCTCATCTTATCTTTTTTTTTTTAATTTATATCCTCTCTGCTTTTCATCGTTGTCTCATTGTTGTCACTTTGTACGTCTCGCAACCCTCGCCGTTAGTGATTTAAAAAATCTATGAAGACCTGACGTGATAAAAGACCTAACCATGTCAGACGAGGTTAGACACACCATCGCAATAAACAGGTGACAAGTTGAGAGAAAAGGCAAAAGAAAAATAAATATGAGCTTTAAAATGGAGTCGTATCAATGAGAAGATAATAATATCATGCAAGTCCGTGTTTCAAAACAAACATTGCATCAGACGACAGATGACTTACAAGTCACTTTACCTGAGATAAATGTAAGATATTTCTTTCCTTTTACAGACAGAAAAAACATAAAAATACGACGGTGTGGACATTATTTTAATATATTTATACTACAAGGTTACTCTTCTACTTTTTCTTCTGTGCACCTTATCCCCTCTGGAAGTGAGCGATCATATATCTCCACAACTTCCTATCCTTTGTAGCTCTTAGCAATATGTGTCTATATTTTTACTAACACTCCAACTGTCCGTTCTACAATCCATTTATACAAGGAACATTACTCGCTTTTTTTCTCTAAATCTTGCTTACAGTATTTCCTGTGAGTGTTAAATTTTCAAACGATGCATTCCTCATTATGTATCTCAGAAATTTGAACTGTCGCTTTCTGGTTGGTTTGTTTGGTTTTGTTTTACGGCATATCAACCTCAATGGGTTATTTAATGCCGACAAGATTTTTATTGCTGATAATATTTTTTTTCCAAAAATGTATTGCTAGTAATATTTTGTTTCTCAAAAATGTATAGCTGCTTATATTTTTTTTTCCAAAAAATGTATTTCTGGCAAAATTTTTTCCAAAAATATATTGCTGGCAATATTTTTTATCAAAAATGTATTGCTGGTAATATTTTCTTTTTCAAAAATGTATTTCTGCCAACATTTTTTTTCCCAAAAATGTACTGCTGTTAATATTTTTCTTTCTAAAAGTTTATTGCTGGCAATATTTTTTTTTCCAAAAATGTATTGCTGGCAATATTTTTTTTTTTTTCAAAAATGTATTTCTGGTAATATTTTTTTTTCAAAAATGTATTTCTGGCAATAATTTTTTTCCAAAAATGAATTTCTGGCAATATTTTTTTTCCAAATATGGGTTTCTGGCAATATTTTTTTCCAAAAAAGTATTTCTGGTAATACTTTTTTTTTCTAAAAATGTATTTTTGGCAATATTTTTTTCAAAAATGTATTTCTGGTAATATTTTTTTTCTAAAAATGAATTTCTGGCAATATTTTTTTTCCAAAAATCTGTTTCTGGCAATATTTTTTTCCAAAAATGTATTGATGGTAATATTGTTTTCTAAAATGTATTTCTGGTAATATTATTTTTTTCCAAAAATGTATTGCTGTTAAATTTTTTTCCCAAAAATGTACTGCTGGTAATATTTTTCTTTCTAAAATGTATTGCTGGCAATAATTTTTTTTTTCTAAAAATGTATTGCTGGTAGTATTTATTTTCCAAAAATGTATTTCTGGTAATATTTTTTTTCTAAAAATGTAGTTATGGCAACATTTTTTTTTCCAAAAATGTATTTCTGCCAATATTTTTTTCCAGAAATGTATTTCTGCCAATATTTTTTTTCCAAAAATGTATTGCTTGTAATATTTTTCTTTCGAATAATGTATCGCTGGTAATATTTTTCTTTCCAAAATGTATTGCTGGTAATATTTTTTTCCTAAAAATGTACCACTGGTAATATTTTTCTTTTTTCAAATGTGTTGTTTGTAATATATGGTTCCATGCTCCTCAAAACCTTCTGTTCAGAGACCTTGCTGTCGGATGTAGTTTATCGTCATACGCAGAAGCGTTAATTTCTGATCGTAATTATAAGTGTTTAATTTTTCGTTTTAATTTTCCTTAAAATTTTCTCGTTGCTCACATGCTACCCCTATGCTATTCTCAACATTCTTCTGTAGAAGTACATTTCTGTTACCTCAAGTCTCTCCATCTGTGAGGAACTAAGGAGTACTAACTAGTCCCTATATGTACAATTTGCCTCTGTGGAGTGGGGAATAAAACTAACATTTCAAAATGGAAAGAGGAAAGCTCATCAGAACAATTACCATGAAAATATTTATAGAGAAGACATATGGAGAATGTCTGAAGCAGAGATGCCAGGTCAAGACCGATAACGCTGCAGATTTTTATTTGAATTTTGTCACTAATCTCTAGATATGTAGAAAATTTACTGAATAGAACTGTAATTAAAGTAATATAAGTTATCTCCCTTTGCGTGGACAGGATAACGCCAACAATAAAGATTTTACTAAATAAATCAGGGTATAACATACATTTTTATAGCTTTTACCTATCAGAATATACAATATTTTAGATTCTATTGTACTTGTTAATTATTTCCGAATAGAATCGATATTAACAAACTGAAGTTTTCTGTCTGAATTTCTGATATGTGTAGTTATAATTATATACTTTTGGACCATTGAGATCAGCTTTGACCTCAGCTTTAATGTTATTATCCCGTTTCGACCATTGTTACCCCTGGGGTTCATCATGTATCGGGCAGCCTTCAGGGAATTTTGAAATAAACACTTTACTACAGTGGGATATTGTCCTCATTCCAATGTACATGCCTGCTTTAGTACTACTCAAATTATTTGTCTATGTTTCGGAGATTAGGTGTTATGTTTACTATTAATTTTTTTTAAGCATTCAACCCCAGGCAAGGCGAGAAGCCACTAGCACGCAAGGGGTTACAGAGAGTTGGAGCGAGAACAAAGAGGAGTGATAGAGGAAAAGATGAAGAGAAGGTTAGGGGATAGATCAGGGCATCTGGAGACGTCGATTGACATTACATTTGAATAGCTGGAGATTATATCTATCAGGAAAACAAGAAATGGGGAGGGAGTTCCACAGGCGAGAAGTGCGAGACATGAAGCTATTGGAGTAGAAGAGACGGCTATATTTAACAGTTTCAACAGTGAAAGGGTGAGAGCGAGATGCCAGCCTAGTTGAACGCTTAAATTCATGAAGTCTGGGAACCAGCGAAAGCAGCTCACCAGAGCAGTTACCGTGAAAGTATTTGTAAAAAAGACAGAGGGAGGCGACAGCACGTCTGTGAGAGAGCGACTGCAGAAGAGATGCCAAATCAGGGCCAATTACACTGCACATCCGTCTCTGGATTTTATCAAGGACCTTCAGACAAACAGAAGGGGCTCCAGATCATATATGGCAGCAATACTCCATGCAAGGGCGAATGGTTGATTTGTAGATTTGAAGGATCGACTCCGGCGAGAAAGATTTCCTGGCGCGGTACAGGGTGCCAACCTTCCTAGTGGTGGACGAAGCTATTGACTCAATGTATTCATTCCATCTCAGGTTAGCAGACAATGTGAGACCGAGCAGTCGCAAAGAGGTGCTCTGGTGGAGTTGACCGTCAGACATTCCAATGGGAGGCAGGGATGGTTATCTCTGGTGATTGACCTCATCTTTGGTGCCGTATTTATCACAAAGTTTCGGCCCTTGTACTCTCCGGCCTTCTTCAGATGGTTGGAATGTCGAACTGAACCTTTTATTTCGCTCGCTGGGGTAGACTGTTCTAGTTTCAAGTCCCACGTCTAATGGATGTCACTGGATCTAACTAACGCCTTTATCCACTGTGTCATGTGTCCTTGAGTTAGATCCAGTGACAGGGCCCAAAGAGTTGTGAGTGCAATACCTGGTTAAGGTAGTGGAGAACTTCGAGACGAATTAACAGGAGATGACAGATAACTGACATCCATTAGACATGGCACGTGGAACTAGAACAGTCTACTCCGCCGAGCGAAATAAAGGGTTCAGTTCGACATTCCAACCATCGGAATCTACAGAGACGGAAACGTTGGGATAAACATGGCAACAAAGACGAGGACAATAGTCCGAATAATGTAAATAGTGTGCAATGTTGGGCAGAGGGTTTAAATACTTGAAATAAAAAATACCTAATACCAACATCCATCGTTTTCCCTCAAAGCCGCATACGTATACAGCAAATAAAACGAAACACCATGCCTTCTACAAAACTGTCGTCTTAAGCAATTAATTTCATCTGTAACTCGAAATCACCTCGTTAATATATCGTAATAATCTCTCTATAGTAGCTTAACTTTCTATTCAAATCAGGAATTTTCTTGTGTACTTTGATAACAGGTATAAAAGGACTGTCCAGATTAATATCCTGTTCAATTGATAAGTCAATCAATGGCAAAGGCACATATCCGTTAAGTCACCTGAGTCAGTCTACGCTCGTCAGTGACGGGTTAAGGAGACAATATGCCGGAGATTTCCAAAGTATTTGACATATCTCCCTATATACCAAAGCGACATGTTCTCTCTGTAAGCTTGTAAATACATTATATTATCTGATAATATCGATTTGTTTTAAATCTGCTCAATAATTTCGGAGGATGCACTGTGTCTTGGACAATTTCAATGTCGGCCGACACCGGATGTTGCTATAGCGGTCTCGAATTTTTTCACTTGCATCGGCAAGAATAATGGATGAAACTGCCAAGGTCTGTGTCACATGTTGTTCTCTGAATAGGTAAACGTCCTCATCTTAAATCGAAGAATGTTTGGAAAATAACTGATTTTTATTATAGAACTCTCGCACCTTATTCAATAATATGAAGCATCGTAATGTTTCCTTCTTGTCATAATTTCAGCACAAATAAGCACAGAAACATATATATATATATATATATATATATATATATATATATATATATATATATATATATATATGTGTGTGTTTATATA